TCGCCACCATTATCTGATCAAACACACTTTAGCTTTCTGCCAGTTTCTCTTTCAACATTGACATGAAACTCCTTGAAAGCATCGAGTACCTGGTCTTTAGATTTCAAAGCAAAAGCCCACACTTTTCTAGAATGGTCATCAATAAAAGTAACAAAATAAAGAGCACCTCCAAGAGTTCTAGTTTGCATAGTACAAACATCAGTATGAACTAAATCAATAACATCAGATCTTCTAGATGATGGATATGTCTGAAATGCAACTCTATGTGTTTTTCCAGCTAAGCAATGATCACAAGATTTAAGAGATGTACCTTGCAACTCTGGTAAGAACTGCTTTCTAGCAAGAGTTTGAAGTCCCTTCTCGCTGATATGTCCAAGCCTCTTATGCCAAAGATCTATACTTTCATCTTTTCGAATTGCATTAATCTCTCCTTTGTGTAGCTTAGCTTCCATGACATAAAAAAAGTTAATCTTCTTTCCTTTTGCCACAATTAGAGAACCTTTAGTGAGTTTCCATTTACTTTCATCAAAATAATGTGCAAAGCCCTCATCACTAACCTTTGGCAGTTCAAGAACTTTCATGAGAACTCGAGGAGCTCGTCGGTGGAGGCAGCTGGCTCGAAGACGGAGGACCCTACCTCGATCACGAGTTCCCAAAGCTGGAAGGTTAATAGCACGATCTCTGAGCTAGTGTTTTTGCATCTTTATGTCATGGCTGAGGTGTCAGCATGACTTGGTCGTGTCTGTACAGTGTGATCTCTGAGTTGGAGCAAATTGACTTGGAGTCGGGTTGAAGGGCTATAACCTTGGTTCTCGTTGATGGAGGTTGAAGATGACTCCTTTCGTCATTCGTCGGGTTCTTGTACACAGGTCAACATCAGAAGAGCTTTCCGATTCGACTCCTCCGATGATTAAGTTAACAAAGATTTTAGAAATTAGGAGAATTTGGGAGAATATATAAATGTTTTCTTCTTAACCATCCTCAGTATTATTCTTGGGGTCGCTTTTATATTTGTTCATGCGTGCGATCGTACGTAGCAGCTTTAAAGATCCCGAGTCGTCCTTGTATGTAGGTGTTTAAGGCCCATTGATGTTGCAGGCAGTCGACACGTATGTTGGGTGCAGGCATCGTACGATCTACTCGATTCGATCTCATTTAGCATTGCTTCTTGTCTCTATGTGGCCCGATACATGGTCACATTGCCCTATACAGCCTCGAGTAGAGTGGGTGCAAAGGGATTGCATCAGGCGACTTGTTGGCCTCAGGCTCGTAGTGTTGAGTTGGCTCGAAGCGACATGTTGGCTTAGGGACATCATGTCGAGTCTGCTATGGTAGCCGATGTTTCTCATAGGGTGATTGCCAAAATATGCTATAACAAGGGGTAAGGATGGGCGGGGGGTAACGGAGGAGGGGCGGTGGTGAAAAAGGACATGGCCAAATGTAAGTTTTTGATGCAAAACATTAAATGATCAATTCTGATTTTGACCCGTTTTTTAAGTACAAAGAATATTAATTTATTAGGATTTTTTCACTTAGAGATTAAAGATAGTGGAAAAGCGACTCTAAGCATCAAATCTCGTGTCCTGAAACGAAAAGTAAACATCTAAACCATCGATGATGAATTATTCGATTAGAAAGAGAGGCCACGAGGTGTTATCTGATGGCCTGAGGTACAATTTTTATGGTAGATCAAATGGTTGATATCCACTGATCACAGTGTTATTGACCGCTCGATTCTGAGACCAAAGAAGCGCATCAATGTGATGCGTGCGTCTTATTCTTCGTTTCCCCAAGCAGTCTTCTAATTAACATAAAATGACGACTTAGCAAACAAGCATTCCAAAATTAATATACAGGATTTTTGAAACTTTTTGATAAAAATAATAGAAGATAAGAACAATTATTGAAGAAGCTTTATTGAAGAAACGAAAAAACTTAAATACATTAACATGTCTCTCTCCTATTTATACAGATTAGGAGGAAGAATTTTTCTCGATAGAATAAAGAGATTTCCTCATATAGCTGGGGAAATCTTATGTTCTATCACTTTTAATTAACATGAGAATCCTTAATTGATCGATGGACAATATTGGGAAATTCATTCAATCACAAACTTAGTATATATTGACCACTGAACGAGCATTCGAGCCCCTCTTAGCCACCTAATGAGCATTCGAACTCCCTCTTTGGTAACATTTCTTATGCATAGGAGCCTAAATTAAGTCAAGTTGATCCTGTCATGATAGATGTTTTTGGAACTGATAAGCATGTTTGGTCTTCTAAGATCTTATAAACATCAATCATTCTCTATCTTGAAAGTTGTTTTTCGGAATCAATCTTATAAACATCAATCTTACTTTTTGGTGTCACTTATGGATGACAACAAATGTTAACTTATTAGTGTTAGAATGAAAGCCAATTCACCATCTACCCTTAAAGGTATATTTTGAGGCTTACGCAAAGTGACCAATCAATCAAGGGCTTGCACTAATGTTCAGTCCTTGGCAAACAAAAGTATCCAAAGTGTTAATGCGTAATTTATCAACAAAAGTATTCAAAGCATCTAATGCATTATTATGTCTAATGAGTCCTTTTGATAAGAGCATCGGAGGTATTTAACGCACCCTTTATCAACCTAAGCATCTAGTGCGTCCGATATGAACAAAAAATGTCTCAACAATTAATGCTTCCTTAGTGAGCACAGTATTTTTAATGTGCAATGTGTCATTTGCGTATGAGAGCATCTAATGTATTCATCATGAACAAAAAATATTTCAACTATCGACAAATCCTTTGTAGACATAAAAATCTTTAACATGCAACCAACAAGTCGAATCTTGATGTTCCATGTCCTGCCATGTACATCTCGAGATCACATTTGAGATCCGTCTCTAGCGTCCTTCCGTCGTTGTGATGGTCACGTTGTTGTAAGAACACATCTCAATATTGTCATCCCGTGAATCACCTCCTCTGTGCGGATTCTGGTTTCTTCGGACCGTAAACGTTGGCTGTTTGGGTGCAGCAGAGATTGTGGCTTCTTCGTTTTCCAGCATGAAAACAACTGAAGACATGGCTGGCCGATCACTGGGGCTGTCTTGCACGCACAGCAGGCCGACATGGATGCTTCGCACCACCTCCGCCCGAGCGCATGAGCCGGCAATCGATGGGTCGACGTAATCCTCTGCGTTGCCTTCGTTCCACAGTTGCCATGCCTGAATCGTTGTAGGTCCAAAGTGAGCGGCAGAATCCATAGCTAAGCATCAACAGATGTGGGCGTCAACTCACGTAAGCCAGGAGATTAGGGGAGTCCATGGCGAGGGGAAAGCTGCTGTTCCGGAAGCCGCTCACGATCTCCAACAGCAGCACGCCGTAGCTGTAGACATCCGACTTCACGGAGAAGAGCCCTTCCATTGCGTACTCGGGAGACATGTAGCCACTGCAACGCACCTCACCACACATCAATGGCATTCATGCTTAATTAGCATCAACTCACTTCCGTGGACGATGATGAAGCTTACTTACTATGTTCCGACGACTCTGTCGGTGTTGGCTTCGTCCTGGTTGACGCCAAAAATCTTTGCCAGGCCGAAATCAGACACCTTGGGGTTCATCTCTTCGTCGAGCAGAACGTTGCTGGCTTTAAGATCCCGGTGAATTATCCGTAGCCTCGAATCCTGGTGAAGATAGAGAAGCGCTCGAGCGATCCCCTTGATTATGTTGAATCGCTTCCCCCAGTCAAGCTCTGTTTTCTGGGTTGGATCTGCTCAAAGAGCTATCAGGCACAACCTATCTGGAATTCTCAGTGACTATAAGAAAGTGAAAGAGTATGACGAACCAAAGAGGAGGAAATCCAAGCTTTTGTTGGGCATGTACTCGTAGACCAGTAGTTTCTCTTCCCCATGGATACAGTAAGCAAGAAGCTTGACTAAATTCCTGTGCTGTAACTTGGCAATCAAAATGACCTCATTTTTGAACTCCGACAAACCTTGCCTAGATCCTCTCAAGAGTCTTTTAACAGCAATCTCTTTTCCTCCCGGTAGGTTTCCCTGAAATTATATATATATATTTAAATCAACTTCATTGTCATCATTGATATCCTTCATCATAGGATATCTAATGGACATCGAGGAATCCATCTGCTCACAAGGATGGTCATCACCTTTTCATCTTCTTTCTTGTACACAATATAAAGTAACATATATAGTGAGGTTGATGACAAAGGAATATTTGTAGTGAAGCTTTATATACCACAAGAAAAAATGAGGTCAAACACTATCAAGAATTCAACATTACGATAAATTCAGGTTTAATACTTACCTTGTAAACTATGCCAAAACCTCCTTTTCCCAGCTTATTTGACTCGGAGAAATTGTTTGTGGCACAGAGTATGTTCTCAAAACCAATTAGCGGAAGTTCTGGACCTTGATGAGGCTGCCCTTCAATGAATTCGTTCGAGCCAGAGATGTTGTTTGCAAAGTCTGTACTTGAGCTCAGATCACATAGTAGTTTTCCTTTCTTTTGATCCTTGAATACACCTGGTTAGGCAGTTGAGTCAATTAAATTCTCATAGCCGATCAATTTGGTTCCTAAAACTTGTAGGGACACAAACTTACCAAATACCTCACTGAACTTCCATAAGATAAAGATGCAAGCCAAACAAACGATAATCGCAGAAAGAGATGCTATAATTACTATCCTCCTAGTCTTCGTCTTGCTGCCTGATGTTGCTGTTTACAGAAATAACTTCAGATGCATATTCTGAAACAAAGTCCGATAAGCATTGTCGAGTGAAAGCTCCTAAGAATTCAAGATGGTGCAGCATATCTTATTATGACTGTAGGTCAGCCAGGACGATGCAGTGTCCAGGTTCATTACAGGAACAATGTGATCGTCTCAAAGGAAAAAAAAATTCTATTGTCGATAGCAGAAAGAATAGCAGCTATATGTCAGTGGAAAGCTCAGTTTCCTGCAGTGATCAATATGTATTCATGCTCCACAACCTCAACAAGACTACCCCATACTACCACCAGTGTTGCATTGAAGCAATAATATCCAAAGGGAAAGAGATAAAATGCATACCTAAACTAATATCCATTAGGCGCAAATAGAGATCCCCCCCACCACTGCTTACCATCTCAGTATCTATCAACTCTCCCACCCAAATCAAGCACCCTGAGATCGTTTCGTTTCCCATTGTCACGTCAGAATAAGCATAAGCCGTACAGGAACAATTGGTTAGGCATGCAGTTCCGCAGTCTCCGATGTTTCTGTTCCTAAGAAACACAACATGGTCTGGCAATTTCATGCCTTCAACTCTCAGAAATCCATCTCCATCACCACACCTCAATGCCTTCTTTCTGGTGCAACCAGCCGAGAAGTTCCCATTCTCCCGGTCACTCTGAACCTTAGGCTCAAATCCTTCCATACATTTGCATGCTGGCACTGATTCAGTACTATCACAATACGCGAATTGACCGCACCATCCATATGTTTCGCACTTGTCATTTGGCACAGATGAGTGCTTTGTCCAATTCTTGGAACTATTATCCCAAATCAGTAACTCAATCTGTCCTAAATAGTTTAATGTGTATCTAATATACAATGATGCATCTGAGACACTTAGTGTGATGCCGATCTCATCATCATCTTCTAGCACCGTT